TATTTTACGTTACAACCGTGGCTCGTATTTGCGTAACATCAGACTACGCCACAAACAGCTAACCCTCGTCATCAGAGAAACGTAAGAAAACTATGTATTTACTTCAGTTTGATTTGATCCATAATTTTGTTGTTGAACTCAAACCCTCGGAGCTCGGTGCGTAAACGTAGCCGTACGTAAACTGCTACGTCTGAGAAATACGTGTGTGGTACGTTAGATATTTGACTCCAACTCACGGGAATCTTTCCATATTCTACTGTTTTAGTTATTTTAAATTCAGACGTGTTTTGTTTTAACAGAATCAGCGCGTAAACGTGGGCCACTAGTGCACTTGTATAAAGGCATAATTCTAAGATATTTTATGAATTTATATCAATATTTTCTACGCATGACTTTACTTGTGTTTTCTCTTTCTCTGCACATCCCAGTGTGTGTCTTCCCCTGGCTACAGAACCGCCTGATTCTGAAATAGAGCAACACATTGTGGGTTAGTTATTTCAAATGCTTTAAAACACACAACAATTAAGCCACGATGGACCATTTTACAGCTGCAGCCCATTAAAACTACGCAGTTTAACGTATGAACGCGCGTACATGCGTCTCATTGCGTCATAAACGTCGCTTAAATCAGAATCATGGTCATTGCGCGTGTCCCTGAGCGCGCGTAAAACCATCAAAACGCCATCATTGCTCTGGATTACAGCAGAAAACATGTTTGTGTAGAGAACCAGGCACGCTCCACGCACCAAGCACCACGCTCCACGCTCCACGCACGCTGCTGCTGTGGCCTGCGTGGGAGAAAGACAATATGGCGACCAGCAGACGCATGCGGCCGTGGGCAGAGCTCTCCGTGTCCAAGTCCTTCTCCTTTCTTTATGTGTGACAGACGCGTGGGATATGGAGCAGGGAACTTGACCAAATAGTCCACTCCAACATCTCACAAAGGCAGAAGAGATGGAAGGGGTTGTGTTTATGTGAATGGCGCAGAAACGAAAGAGAGAGACGCAAAAGTACTGTTAGAAAAGTACTGTGTTTTTAGCTGCTTCGATAGCTGCATTTTTTTCTGTATTTTGTTGTTGTTGAAGAATGGCTTTGCTCTCAGGCTTTTCCCATTTCCCTTCCGTGGCTTTGTCCCTGCAGCGTTTCTCTGCTAAACATTCATTTGAGCTTTAACTGGCCCCGTCCTGACAATAGCCGCGATTCTTCCCGGCGCTAGTCACACATTAACGGCTTTTCCATAGTCAGGGATTTGTCTTTTTTTTTTTTGCTTTTCCGAATGTGAGTTAAAGAAAGAATGGGAAGAAAGATGCTCAGAGTCAGCGGGTTTGGCAGTTTAAAGATGGGGTTAGAACAAAGTGCTTTCAGTGTAAAAGTGTGGATGGAGGAGAAGGAGCAGGAGCCGCGGTGAGAGAAATGTTGTTTTTCATTTTGTGTTTTATCTCAGTTTGTGCTATGACTTTAAATAGAAATTATAAAATACTCAAGAGTTTTAGAGCAGATTTAAAGCTCATTTACATCGCGAGATTTGACTTGATTCGCATTTTCTATGTTTGAATGAGTAAAAAACTATGTATTTTTTTACGTAAAGTAACAAAAAAACGGTTAAATTATTCTAAACTTTAGACAGTGTTGTATTTTTGTCACGTGTCTCGCGTTGGTTTGTTGTTTTGTCATCGCTGATTTTTCTGTCAATTTTTTAAACTTTTTTATTTATACTGGCTAATTATGGATTTTCTTACCACCAAATTAGCAAAGTGGCAACGTGGACATTCATCAAAGTTTAGAAAAAATATGATATATGGTTAAAAAAGTAGGAATACCATTTGTATTTTTGTTGTAATTTCTCGTAATTGACGTTTGTAATTTCTCCTTTAAAACACTTTACCGCTGATCATTTACTTTGCCTTTTGTTTTGTGCAGCTTCCGGAGTGTGAATAAAACGTCTCTGTTTTTGTGAGTCTCATTTTTTAAACAATATTTTGTATTTGCTGTTTTTGTGCATCCACAGATTGTAAACACATATTCTCAGGCTTCTCTTACAACTTAAGCTTTTTGTCTAATACCATTTGGGTTCAGTACTGCCTCTGTCTCTCTCTCTGTGTCTCTGTCTCTCTCTCTCTGTGTCTCTCTGTCTCTGTCTCTGTCTGTCTCTGTCTCACTCTCTCTGTCTCTGTCTCTGCCTCTGTCTCTGTCTCTCTCTGTCTCTGCCTCTGTCTCTGTCTCTCTCTCTGTCTCTGTCTCACTTTCTCTGCCTCTGTCTCACTCTCTCTGTCTCTGTCTCTGTCTCTGTCTCACTTTCTCTGCCTCTGTCTCACTCTCTCTGTCTCTGTCTCTGTCTCTGTCTCTGTCTCTGCCTCTGTCTCTCTCTCTGTCTCTGTCTCACTTTCTCTGCCTCTGTCTCACTCTCTCTGTCTCTGTCTCTGTCTCTGTCTCTGTCTCTGCCTCTGTCTCTGTCTCTGTCTCTGTCTCTCTGTGTCTCTGTCTCACTCTCTCTGTCTCTGTCTCTGTCTCTCTGTGTCTCTGTCTCCTCCAATCACAGCTCAGCACAAACGCATTAGTTTTGAAAAAAAGAAAATCTACGCCATGAATCCACGGAGATGACGTGGATATTGTTTGTGACACTTTCGGATTCGCAAAGAAAGCGCGATCGCACGTGGGAGAGAAGGCTGTAATCTGGTCTAACCTGGTCTAACCTGGTCTAACCTGGTCTAATCTGGTTACGTGGACGCGCACGGATGGATCTGAGCAGATGTGGAAATACGGTTAAAACGGTAAGTTATGAGAACATTGTAATTTTGTTTTAAATGTTTTTCTAATAATAAAATAGAGTATTGAATCTGTGGTCACGTGTCTGTGTCTATCCTGAAGAGATGAATATTACAATCTATAGTAACACAATTCTGCCGGGAATCGATTTTCGCAGTTACTGTATGCACTCGACCTGATTGTTCATAAATACTGGGAATAGAACCAACTATTATTGAATACTAATAACTACTATTACTACTATTACCACAACTACTACTACTGCTGTATTGCTACTATTACTACTTCCACTGATACTGCGGCTACTGCTACTGCCATAATAGTATAAATTAGCACAAATATTTAATTATATTTAATAATAAAAAATCTATTGATCTTTATAAGACCTTGTAAACATATAGAAGTTGTTATTGTAGTAGTAGTAGAAGTGGTTGTAGTAGCAGTGATGGTAATAGTAGTGAAGTATTGCAGTAGTACTTGCAGAATGTAATAAACATAATATTAGAATAGAATATTATAGAATATAATTGAATATAACATTTAAAAAAACTAAATATTACGGTGGATATATGAGTCTGTCTAACCCAGGGCCTGCAACACAACAATGACCTGGTTTTTTTTCCCACTAAAATGTTTTACAAAGGTCACAATCACCATGGCAACAAGCTCACATCACTTCAATGATGAACCCGCACGTGCTGTTTGTTCTGTGGGATGTAGCAACAACATGTGTGTTATGTTTGCTGTTCTAATGTTTAAATAAATAAATACAAATTCAATGAACAATGAGACAATAATAATAAGTCTGTAAAGTGTTGAAATCCAAATGTAAATACAGTAGATTCGGCTTCGCTCCAACGGCAGCGCGCGCCGTTACGCACCACGTATTCAAATAAATAAATCACAAATCACCGCGCGACGCCATCTTTTATGACTTATGAGATGATGAAATGGAAGTTTAGCCTTTGGCACAGCACGCACCTCGCATTGTTTTGGATCAGTCTCATTTAGGCCCATTACGCGAACGCAAACCCACAAAAAACTATATTATTTGAACGTTTTGAGACAAGGCAGAGGCAGAGCTGCTGACATGGCATGAATAATGGCGGGAGGGAAAGGGGAAAGTCCAACATCCACAGCCACGAGGAGAAACAGCAGAGCACTTTGGGGCAGAAGAAGTCTCCACCAGCGCAAAAACAAATGGCTTTATATATGAACGCGTGCCATAATGACGCTAATCTCTTATTAATTACTCGCTGCGGACATTTGCAAAGCTTCCAACGCGTCTCAACAAGCAGCAGCAGCAGCAGCAGCGGCAGCAGCAGTAGTAACAGCAGGAGCAGCAGCAGTGAGTCTCGCAATGAGGGGCGTATGTAAGAAAAGAAAAGAATAGAAACGTATCGGAAAGGAATGGGTTGCGTCCGAAACTCGCGTGTCCATGACCACTACGCTCCCGCTGCCCAAAGCTGCTGCTCTCACTCCATTCTCCCTTGTCATTTTTTCAGCAGCAGCAGCAGCAGCAGAAGCAGGCAGCGTTTGGACTTGATTTATCTGCGGGAGAAGCGTAAACAACAGCTCTATTCTGTCCCCGGTCCCGCGCACGCACAGACAAAACGCGAAATGGCATCCCCTGGCGTGCACTGACACATACATCAGGGGCATTGGCGAGGGGCAGAGGGAGGGGGTGTACAGATAGATAGATAGATAGATGGATAAATAGATGGATGGATGGATAGATAGATAGAAAGGTGGACGGCTGATTGTGGGGAGGTATGTGAGAGGACACGCGCTGTTGTGGCTGATGGTGACGCGTGCGTAAAGATGCCAAAGTTGTAGCGAGGCCATAAACCCGGTGTGATGGGAGACTGTAATGATGATGATGATGATGATAGGTGGTGGTGGTGGTGGAGGTGAAGGTGGAGGGGGGTGGTGTGCATAAACAACAACAACACGATGGCAAATGGATGGAAAGCTTTGGCACGTTTGGACATTATTCTCATATTTACCGCGGGGTTAAAAAGCAAAAGGATGCGGATGCGCGTTTCCCCCACTTCTTCTTCCTCTTCCTCTTCCTTCTTCCGTCCACAATACTCACACACACACGTATAGCGACCCGCGAGACGCACGCCACACGTCCGATTTTGTTTTATTGCAGCTTCGTCTCTCTTTTACTCCTCTTCTGTTGCCTGAATTCGCTCGTTTCTCTCTCTCTCTTTCCTCCCGCGTTGAAGTGCATGCACCCCTCTCGTTCTCCTCCCTCCTCCTCTTGCCTCGCGCGTTGGGGGTGGCGTGGGGTGTGGGGGGTGGCACCGGCGGTGTGGGGGTCTTCTCCTTTTCCTTTGCCTGGGAAGGACAGTAATAGTTGAAGACGTTTTTTTTTTTTCTATAGCGTCAGATCCAATGCGAGTGCGCGAGGCTATACGTGTTCTGCCGCATTCATTACGGAGGGGAGTGACGTGGGGTGTGGGGTTGTGATGTGGAAGCACCCCCTCTCAAAAGGCTGTGCGTAAAACAGGCCGAAATGACAAGAATTCGCCTCAGAAAATGTGTTCAAATGTGTGCGTAAAATTTATCCAAGATTTGCGTAAAAAGCGAATATTGAGCGGTTAAAATTGTGTGTGAAACTAACGCAGAATGGCCTCAAAAGTCGTGCGTAAAAATCATTTAAAACAGGCCAAACTGTGAGAAATGTGAGCTCAAAATAGCATCAAAATACATGCATTAAATTGACCCAAAACCATTTAAAATACGGATATAGAATCACGCTGATAGCTGTGCGTAAAATCTACAGATAACGGAAAACACTGGATTATTTGAATTCTAAAACACGGCGTAAAACCAAAACCCAAAACTACAAGCTGGCTCCAGATCTTCTCAAGTAATGATTATAAACACATCTGTCCACGCGACACCAACACAACACAACTCCTCTTGTCAAAAGCTGTGGGTAAAACTCTTCTCTTACAGGATTCCCCACGTTTTTTTCTCCTCCACGCAGACTGTCAGCGCGCGAAAAATATGATCTCTCCTCTCACTTTTGTTCTTTGTTATCCCTCACTGTCAGCCCCCGCTCGCTGCGCAGTTAGTCGCGGAACAAGGCTAATTCCTAACATTGTCTCGCGTCATATTTCACTATACACCCATATTGCACATTAGCATCATCTCCGCGAGACCAGATAGGATTATTTAAAGGCTGGAAAATGGAGAAAAGAGGCATAGAAAAAACTGACAGTGGCGTAAAGAGACATGTATGTGTTTATGAGAGACAGATCCACGCCTTCTGTGTTTTAATGTGGGATTTTAAACATATATTTGAATGTGTTTTGTCCGTTTTCAAAAAATGACACCAAAATCAAACATGTATTTATCTGAATGCGTAAATGACACTCAAGATTTACGCATCAATTATTTTGGTATTTCCTGATTATTTTAGTGGAAGCGTCACGTATATATAATTATCAATGTCTGCTGCGTTGGAAACAGACTCAGAGAAATCTACAAGAGCAAGACAAAAATACTTTAAATGTCTTTTTGTTGTTTTGTTTTTTTCTCAATGTGTCACAAACAAATTAGACAAACGCGCGTGCAGCCTCCTGCGGTGAGGCCGCGAGGGCAGTGACAAAAGGAGAATCTCTTTGGTTTCCCTGGAGCCGAACAACCGCAAGAGAAGGTCTGGGATCAACTGCAAAGGAGATCTGTATATATCTGTTTATATATGTGTGTTTATTTGTGTGTGTATATATATATATATAAGTATATTTGTTTATAAATACATGTGTTTTTGTATATATGTGTTTATATGTGTATGTATATATTTGTGTGTTTGTATGCATATATATGTGCATTTTTATATATGTGTTTAGATATGTGTTTATATGTATGTGTGTGTGTTTATATATATATATATACGTATGATTATATATAATGTGTGTATGTGTATGTATGTGTTTGTGTTTATATGTATGTGTGTGTGTTTATATATAATGTGTGTAAGTGTTATTTCATATATGTGTGTTTATATATCTGTATGTATGTATGTGTGTTTTTGTGTTTATATATATGTATAGAAACATCTCCAAGGTCAAACAATGAGGATCCAGTCCCGAGACGCGCGGCCACGTGCACGAGACACGCACCAAACGCGCTGTGGCCCAAATATGAGAAATCCATCAATATTTATTTATTTATTTAAAACCTGCACAAAACATTTTTAGGACATTTCCTCCTAAACAGGTTTGAAAAGGAAAATAACAACTACATGTTTTAACGGTTGAACTGAAGCTAAAAATACACTAAGCTGGTCTAAGATTTTAACAGACTTTACGTGATGGAGTGACGTATTTCTGTAGTGACGTAATTTAATGACGGCTTACGTTGAAGCAGAAGCTAGTCAGTATGAGGTGATCTATTGATTTGATAACTGGTAAATCTGGAACAGTCTACTCGAAAATGTGAGACAGATTTGATTCTCTTTCTTTGTGTTGTCTTTTGTGTGATGTGTGCGTCCTTTAGGCTCCTGAATCAAACACATTTGATTTTCCGACTCAAACAAACCGAGTGTTCGAACAAAGACAGCGTTGTTTCTGGTCAAAAACTAAATACAAATAAATAATAATAATAATAAGTTCCATACAAAAAATGCAGAGTTTTCTCCTGAACCTTCTGTAGCTTTGAGTTTGTATTTAAAAATAAAAAAGAGAAAAAATCTCTGTTTTGAAAAATAGTCAAAAAGTTGTATTTCTGTATATTTGAATTCTCCACGTTTTTTGTGTTTTCAGAAATGAAAGACATGGAAGAAGTGGTGGAAGTTTATTTATATGGCACTAAAATGGATCAGACCCAATGTCAAATATCAATGGGAACTTTATCTGTTTGTTCTACATTTTTTACAGTGCACTCGAGTAACCGAAGAGAATGAATCCTTCGTCTACACGCACTTAGATACGATCGTCCGAATGTCGTAATCAAAATTAAATAATATAAAGCAGTATTTACATGTGTTTCTGTATTATGCGAACGTTAGATTTTATATTAGCTTCTTTGTTATGCTAAACCTAGAGATGTTATACTAGCTTCTTTGCTAAAGTTAAAGTTATATAGTTATAGTTATATATTTTATTATATTTTAGTAGTTATTGTTCCTTTATCTGCTTGTTCTCCTCATTCCTCTGTAACTACGAATGCAACACTGACATTTCCCCACAGTGAAACCAATACATAAGTAAAATGGACCTTTGCAATTCAGTAAAAAACTATTTACAGCCAATTTATGGTTCTAAAAAAGTGTATTTCCAGCTCTTAAAATGTCCCACGGTCTGAAGGATCCAGTGCAAACCCAGAATCCCACCCCCGCGCGCGCACTTGTCAAAAGCGCGTTCACAATCAGCGCAGACAAGACAAACGCGCGAGGTCTCACCCTATTATGCGCGTATTATGCACGGCGCGAGACTCATAAGTTACCGCGAGATTCTGTGTTTGTTTCTCACGCGAACGAGATCGAAGTCAAACATTTGCGGTCGCGATGATGGCGTCAGTAATGAGGGCCATAAATTATACATAATCAGGAGGGAAGGAGGGGGAGGGAGGGGGGGAGGGTGAGGGAGGGAGGGAGGGAGAAGTGAGGGTGAGGGAGGTGCAGGGAGGTGTGAAGGAGGGATGGAGGAGGGTGGTGTGAGGGAGGCGTGAGGGTGAGGGAGGGAGGGGGTGAGGGAGGGGTGAGGGAGGTGAGGTGAGGTGAGGAGGGGTGAGGTGAGGTGAGGAGGGGTGAGGGAGGTGAGGAGGGGTGAGGGAGGTGGTGGTGGGAGATAAGGAGCCCAGGTCTGACGGAGTGAGGGAGAAAACATAAAATACAAAATTGTGCAATTTTTACAGAAGTATTCAGTAACTTGTCCAGGGTCTGACACAAACTGTTTGTGGATTCAGGCTGTTCTGAGCTGAAGTTGGCTGGATGATAAATGACCTCATAGCAACATCAACAGAACTTTGTGACATCACCAAAAACAAATGTGAGTTTATCCAAAGTCAATGATTCTGATTCGTTGTGGACTGAGCTGAAGTTGGCTGAATGACACTGTGTTAATGATCTCAAAGACTGAGGGCCGCAGGACATGACACAGAGGGCCGTAAAGAGCCCACGGGCCACAGTTTGGACTCAGCACTGCTGCACAACAGGACGATTCACACAGATCTGAATCACAGAAATAAAGGATTTTATCAAAAAGAAAAACAAGAAAACACAATTATCAAGAAAGAACGACAACATTAGTCCTGCTCTGAGGAGCACAGGGACTGGCCTGGGACTCTGAGGAGCACAGGGACTGACCTGGGACTCTGAGGAGCACAGGGACTGACCTGGGACTCTGAGGAGCACAGGGACTGACCTGGGACTCTGAGGAGCACAGGGACTGACCTGGGACTCTGAGGAGCACAGGGACTGGCCTGGGACTCTGAGGAGCACAGGGACTGGCCTGGGACTCTGAGGAGCACAGGGACTGACCTGGGACTCTGAGGAGCACAGGGACTGGCCTGGGACTCTGAGGAGCACAGGGACTGGCCTGGGACTCTGAGGAGCACAGGGACTGACCTGGGACTCTGAGGAGCACAGGGACTGGCCTGGGACTCTGAGGAGCACAGGGACTGACCTGGGACTCTGAGGAGCACAGGGACTGACCTGGGACTCTGAGGAGCACAGGGACTGGCCTGGGACTCTGAGGAGCACAGGGACTGGCCTGGGACTGATGTTTGTTGTTATCGGGATTGAAATATCCTGAGAGACTGAGTATTCTTCTTCTAAACACCTCCTTTAACACTAGACTCCCACAAGTATAAACTATAGAACTGCCCCCAATGGTTTTCACCAAGTTATTAAAAGTTAGTTTTTATACTGTTTTTACTCATGTTTAAACAGTTGAAAACACAGTTACATGAAATACAGCGAAAACAGTTTGTGAAAAGGCTAATGCTAACGAGCTAATGCTAACAGCTAACAGTAAACAGTGCGTTGCTATGGCAACTAGCACTTTTCCTTGGTGGAAAAACAAACTGAACTCGGACTTTGAGAAAATGATTTTGAGGCCATAAAGAAAGTGACCGAAACATTTCTACATTTTAATGAATGGAGCAGTCAAAACGACTGCTCACGTGTCAGAAAAAACTATAGAAAACACTAAAGAGCCGTCGAACTACTCTGTGAATTCTAGTGTGAAACCACGTCTATATGTGCTGCATACGGTGAAGGTCTCTCCCGGAGTCCGTTACGGACGGAACAGAGCGCGGTCTGGGAGCCACTGCTGCTGCAGTCTGCCGCTGTCTGCCGCTGTCTGCCGCTGTCTGCCGCTTTCTGCCGCTGTCTGCCG